GCTGTTCTTAACTCTCCTCTCTGCTGCTGCCCTCAATAACTATTTGTGGGTTTGTTGAGTAAAGGAGGGAAGGCAGGCTGGGTGGGAACACAAACAAAAGGGCTCTGTGCAGGCTCGGGCAGCTTGAGCTGGGCAGAAAGGCAGGCTATGAGGAGAACGGGGAGGAAGATGGACAAGCTGGGGGACTTTGGGACCATGTAGCAAATGCCTGCTAAGCTCAGTCCTCACTGGGACTTTGATAGAGCCATAGGGTGGGCTGCAAAGGTGCAAATCCTTACTCTGTCCCTAACCATCTTGTCTATTCCTTTCCTAGTTCAAGACTGTAGGTCCCTAAGGCCAGGCCACACACAAATGGCTACAGGAAGATAGCATAGGACCTGAGTTGTTCTTCCCCTTTGAAAATAAGGTCCAATCTTCTGGTGGAGTTGCTCTGACTCACATAGCCTAGTGAATAGTATGTGTTCTTATCTCATGCTTACCTGCTTGAAGGATGAAAGCCACACTGTCCCCATTCTGAAACTAGACAAAGGGCTCGGTCATATACATCATTAAAATACATGGCTAACCATAGCATTCTGCTGCCATGTGCTAAGCTTGAACAATGTTTTTGGCACAGTATCTCTTCCATGTGCTCCTAATGTCTTTACTCTGACAGATTTAAAGACAGCTCCAAGGATTTACCTTCCTGAGGACATGATGTGAAAAACTGAGAAGACTTTTTTCTTTTGTGTTTTTGTTTTATGGTAGGGTGGGGAGGGTGTTCTGTTTGACAGTGGTAACTTCAGTATCTGTAAAGAAGGTTCTTTACAGATTGCAAATGATTTCTCTAACCCAGGCATGGAAGGCTGAGCTGTGTATACAGAGGGATGTGGGGTGGTAGCTTTCCTAAAACAGAAACAAGGACAAGAGGAGAGACAAGCGGGGAAGTCTTAGCCGAGCTGTTCTCTACACTCCCAGCATCAGTACCCACTTGGTGTCATGCCCTCACCTTCTTTCTTCCCCTCCACCTGCTCTCCAAACACAGGATCCCAGGTGGTGATACCACTGGGAAGAAGGTCATCAAAAAAGATGCAAAATGAATACTGAGCATCTTTTTTTTTAACTTAAGATTTTTAATATCTATTATACAAAATTGTCAGTGACCAGGCTAGTTATTTTGGCAGTTCTAGAGGTTAGAAGACAGTGCAGAGGTGGAGATCAAAAGGAAATTTATAGCTTTGTATTCTAGGGAAAAAAAATGGGGTCTGGAATAACTTAAATCCCTAAAAGAAGTGGAGTGAAGGCTAGTTTTAAAGTTAGGTCCATGTAAAATATTGAACCGTTTGTTTGCATTAACAAATCCAGTTCCAAACACAAACAAACATGACAGAAAATCAACAAGTGTGAGCCTGAACTGTGCAGTCCTTTGGGGAGCAAGGCCTTTGTAGCTGACCCTGCTTCTCGCCGCAATGGTTTTATGTTAGCCTTCAGACAACTTTTCTCTAGGGCACGACCTAACAGAAGATATTTTGATATGTGGGGGAGGTACTTTGGAAGAGTGTATCTGTATTTAGATCTCAAGAATGATGGATCAGGTGTTGATCAGAGTGTTGGTGCTCAGTAAAATGTAAAAACAATAGAAAAGTAATAGTAACACACCACGAGCTGGGTGACTCCAGATTTAAGCATAAGTAAAAACTGTAAAACCAACTTATCTTTTAGTGGGTCACTTCAAATGACTCATGGCTCCAAAGGAGTGCAGCAGTCACACTAATGTTCTGAATACCAAGCAATTGCAGAAGTCCAAAGTTCCCTGCTAGACTTCATGATACCACTTCTAATATACAGAATCCTCCAGAAACAAATTATGAGAGGTGTGGCCAAGACTGAAGGGCAAGTTAATCACAGTCTTATTTATAATGGCAAAACATAGGTGTATAACTCAGTTATTTTATGTCTATATTATGTAGTCACTGAATTATGCCTTTGAGGAATGTTTGGTGGCAAGAGATATACATATTGACAAATCAAGACAATATAATAATATTTATTCATTTATTTATGGGTTTTTGCCTCTGGTCATGTAATGACGGGGGCGGGGAGGCAGGGAGCACTAAAATAGTGTTAACAGTGCTTATCTGAGGAATGAGCTACTAAGTTAATTTTCTTTGCCTCTGCATTATTTTCTTTCATGTGCAAACTTCAGAAATTTTTTTTTATATTTAGTAAGACAAACTGTTTTATAAAAGCAAACATCAACTCTCACAAGAATATCCAGCTAAGTTGGTACCAGTCACAGTGTAATGATTACTAATAAATGATAAAGTATAAAATGCCTGCCCCAGCTGCAAATAATTATAGTGGAAAAACTCCTGAGTTCTCAGTCAACAGTCCCAGGGCCAGAGGCAGTAAGCTTATGATCTGCATTAAAATTCATCCTGCCAAAGTCTTGCCTGGCACATTACACACCACAGATGCTTGAGGAGGGAGTGCATACCTGTTGAGTACACGCTCTAGGCCAGGTGTCCACATCTGTGGTTTTCTTAACACAAATGAGGAAGGTGAAGTTCACAAGGGCTACATAACCTGCCCTCAGTCACGTGACAACTCAGTAATCAAACTGGATGAGAGCCTCTCTGGCTTGAAAGCCTTGTTTCTTTTAACCACTATATGGCTGGTAGCTGATGGCCCCACAGTGAGATGGAAACTTCATTTTTCCATCTCATTGTACACATTTTAAAATATCTTTACAAAGTATTTTGTTACAGCTTCTAATGCCTGGCCAAAATAAATGAGTTTTTGTTTCTTTGCTTTTACCTAACTCCAGTGGAGATACCAGGGAAACTGCCAAAGGAGACATAATCACAGACAGAGAAGAGAATGAAGAGAGAATAATCTACCTTAACAACAGATGCAGAGACTGCAAAGTAGCCCAGCCTCTGCCTGGTGGGGAGGGGCTTCAGCAGGACCTGTAGCTCTGTCACTTCCCTGACATCTACCTGCCCTCAGTCAAGGTACCTCTTCCTTGGCTGGGAATGGCCATCTCTCAGCTGCCATTTCTTTGAGCTAATTAAAAAGTCTACCTCACAGACCCTAGAAAGGTATCTTTAAAAATCTAAAAACTTTCCTCCAGAAGAGACCAAAGACCTCTAAGCTAATCTCCCTTCAGAGTTTTCATTTGATGATAGTTGACTTTTAACATTTTCCAACAAAGGGCTTAAGGGGCAGATGGCAAACCAGGCCTATATTTATGTGCATCATCTAATTTAATCCAATCAACAAATGAGTTTACAATTGTACCAACTTCTTACTCAGACAGAATTTCACCATCTCAAAGTGCTTCCACATCCATTATCTCATTTGCTTCTCACAAGAGCCCTTAAGGAGGTAAAGGCAGGAAACAGTGACCCTACTTTACAGACCAGGAAATTGAGACAACATCCACTTTGTCTGGCTTATTGGATTAGACAGCAGCTTCCTTGGAAGGTGCAGAGGGACTGGCTGAGTGGAGTCGATATAAAAGCTTTGGTGGAGAATGTGGCAGCAATGTGTCCCTGGATCACAGGATCCTGGAGAAGGCTTTAAGGTAAGGACAAGGTGGTGAACTGTGAGATGTGAGGACAAACTCTGTATGTCATAATATTGCCAATGGGGGGGAGTGCCACACGCATGACTCCTTCCTCCAGCTCTCCTTCCTCTCCGTTCATCAATGTCAACCGAGATCCCAGAGATCCAGGAAGCCTTTTTTGGTTACCCAACACAAAGAAGCCATGATAATAATACTTTAAGACTTTCATTATCACGATGAGTTTTTTAAGGGAGGCTTTTCCATTCTGTTCACAAATGAGTAAAATGAAGAGCAGAGAGGTTAGGTAACTTGTCAAGCTGGCACAGTAAATAAGCTGCAAAGTCTGGATTTCAAACTCTATCCTGCCCACAGCACCTCTCCCTTTTGAACACATCATATCCTTTCTATCATCATGTGTGCAAGTCCTCAGCTGGAGTAAAAGTTCCTTGAGAGCCGACAACATACTTTCTTTGAAATCCCTCCCCTCCCCTCCATGAACACAGTGGGACCCCAATAAGAATCCCATGGTAAATATCTGTTGGGTAGAATAGTAATTACAAAGAAAGATTTTTTTGTGTGGGGGGGGGAGGGCTCAGATTATTAGACTCTCTTCTGTATATAATTAAAATAAGAGTGAATGCAGAATATATAATTTCTCCTAGCATGAGCTTCATCAGGCATTCATCACCACATCTGACTCTGTGTTTACGTGAAAAGGATCGCTTAGTAGGCATTTCCTGTGACGAGACTAATCAAACACATACAGATATCAGAGGAGACTTTAAAAAGCCAAAAATAAAACCACTGGACGTATGGAGAGACAATGATCTATAAGGTACAACCTTGCATCTGAGACTACAGAACTTCCAGGACACAAAGAATATGTGTCTCCTTGTTGGCAGATGGATATTTAACAAACACTAAGAGGGGAAGTCACAGTGCTAACTGGAATCCTGCACCATTACACCTTACACTCTATCAAGAAAACAGATGTATCATGCTAGTGTTTTGGGCCAGAAACAGAAGAGAAGTACATTTTCAATGACTATTTGGGAAGGGTGAGGTGCTTTAGTATCTCTTCAGCATGTCAATCATTTAGTTAACATCTTCACTGGTAAGCAAACTTAATAAATATGTATGTAATATGCAACTTATTACCCTGCTGGATCTCATTACATTTTCCCACCCAACTCATCATTACTTTATAGCTTGGGAAATATAAAGGACTCACTGAGATTAGAAGTTTTGATGGTGGGGATTAGTTTAAGTACTTTTAAATTGACATTTAGTAAACTAAGCTAACAAGACAGTGCCTATCTACCGAATTTTGTTGCCAAAGCCTATAAAATAACCTAAGCTACTAAGAGGCAAGGAGTTAGGTTTCCTGCATAAAACATGGTTGGTTCAACCAACATGTAGCAAGAAGAGAAAATCCCAGGTTTGTGGTACCTACATTTGCATCCTCATGGCTGTGGCCATTGGTCTCCACAAATTCCTTGGTACCTTTTAACTGCAAAATTAAGAGGAAAAAAAAAAAAGTAAGCAAGAACATCTGTTAAGAATATATCATCTTGTTAAATGGTTTATACAAGGTTGCATTTTATAAAACTTCCAATGAGAAAAAACAGATGGAGCACATAATTCTAATGGATCTTATTGAAACCAGTTGAAACCAGTATTTTATAAAGCTTGAGGGCTGGCAAAAAAAAAATGGGTCTTGGTCATTATTTTTTAAACAGTAAGATTAGAAAACAGTTCCATAGGCATAAAATGTTTAAAAGTGGTTCTTAAGAATAATAAATGATTTCATTTCCTAGTTGGATTGCTATTAATTTAAACCCTGCAGTGTTTGCAAGTTGCCACCAGCTAAATGATGTTATGCTAACCGTTATATGGAATGGAACTTTCTGACTGTTTGAACATGCCACAGAAAATTGTACATGTCCTCCTAGAGAACACATCTGCATGACTGACACTGTCTCTAGACCCAACAAGAGAAGACAGTTCGGTTCTTGTCATAGAAAACACTCTTCTCTCTCAGAAGCTTAAGCGCAATTAGTGATCAGGAGATTTCAGGAAATCTTTAATTGGCCTTTGATTCAGTTCTGACCCAGAGAAGACCTCTGTGGGCAGGAAGCAAAGGAAAAGGACAAGCTGGCCTGGCAGCTGCTCGTGATGCACAGGAAGCAGCATGCCCTTTGCTGCCTAGTAGAAAATTCTTGTGGTGGGAAATAGTTACTTAAAATTTGAAAGAAAATAAAATCATGTATACCACCAATGTGTTAGATTCAGAACATTTTCTTTCTGGCCATTTGTGCATATTAAAATGAAAATGGGTTTAGTTTTTTGAAGGCCACTTAAACTCTCAGCAAGAAAGCCATATCCTGTCCATGCCAAGAGAGGGCTTTTGCCAAAGGCCTAGTGACATGAAGAATTTGAAGATGAGGCAGCTGGTTATGGATCCAAGGCTCTTTGACTCATTGTTAGATCAACCCAATTAGCAAAAAAAGAAAATTGACCAAATGTAAGGGAATGTCAGCAATATATTACATGTATAAATAAGAAAAGATATACCACAGTGACAGGAATATCATGCATGCATGAAAGGACATTAAAAATACTACCTTTTGCTAGGCAAGCAGTCAACCACTTGAGTCATGGCCCCAGCTCTTTTGTTTTTGTATTTTATTTTTGAGATGGAATCTGGTTAACTTTGCCCACACTGGCCTCAAACTCACCATCTATCTGTAATTCCAGCTACTCTCCCAAGTAGCTGGAATTACAGATCTGCACCACCACACCTGACTTAGCTTAAGGTTTCTTCCTCTTCTTCCCCTTTAATACCCTCTCTGTTCATCCCTCCTGAGGTCCCATAGCTTCCATGAGTTAGAGTGGAGTTAGCTCAGAAGAAGTTTCTCTTCTTCTGCAGCAGAAATAAAGTACTGTTTGTTCAATATCCACACCTAAACAAGCCAGTTACTCTCCTTCTGCTTTATATTAAATAAATTCCAGCCTCCTTAGTTCATGTTTCTCCCTGCCACCCCAGCAGCCCTCTCTATATCACCCATTTATTCTCTTGCCCACTGGTATTGCTCAATCCTCTGTTCTCTTCTGCCAGAACTTCCACAGGAGCTCCTCCTCCTGCAGGTGCCCTTTCCCTGCAGCTGAAGCCACAGGCCCTGCTGCTTTGACCCCATGGGTCCTCCCTATTTCCTCCCCTGTTGCTTCTCTCCCTCGGCTGGGGCTGAATGCTTTTCTGAGGCGATGTGGTTTGGTGAACAAGCTCTAGGTGTTGGAAGGACCATCACCATCCAGGAGATGAAGGCAAGAGTCAGCAAGGCGGGAGGGACCTAGGGGAGCTAATCTCGGCACACAAGGAAGGCCAGAGAGCACAGGGAGTGACCAGGCCTTCCTTGCAGGGAGGAGTTCCATGGGGAGGAGGGCCTTCCCTCAAGACCTAGCCTTTCTTGTCAGGATTTCCAGCCAGGGACAGCTGCTTCAAATGGCAAAATCCCAAGTCTTCAAGAAGGACATATATTTCCCTCTGCACATGTATGCACATGCATGCATCTGTTAAGGCAGTATCTATGTAGGCAATGAAAAAGTGTTGAGCAGTTATTCCATGCAAACCCAAAGAAAGCCTCAGCAGGCAATCCTTTTGGAGGTGAGAGGTGTGTTTTTAGTTCATGTCTGAGGGTGGGAGAAGGAAGGGATGTATGTACATTGCACAGCACCCTCTGCAAGGATGACCAGGGCAACAGGACAGGGGCTCTTAGGCTACAGTTTAGTAGTGGCAATAGCACCCAGGTACCATTGACTTCTGTGTGACACTGACTCCCCTTAGACTTAGGCATTCTTGGTGTCTTTGCTTGAAAACAGTCATTCCATCTCTCTCTCTCTCTCTCTCCTCTCTCTTTCTCTCTCTCATAATGGCAAATAAAGTGTGATGTTCCACCACTGCCTCCATGTGTGCTTTGCTCTTTAAAAATGCATGCCAGGGGAATTCCAAGATGGCGGCTAGAGGTAGGAAGCAGAAAGCGACCCTCCTATAGTGAAATCTTGGAGAGACGCTGGAGACACACTTTGCAGGCATAATCACCGAGAAAAGGCATAACTTTGACTCCTCCACATCTCCAGCCGGCGCAGAGAATCTCCACTTCACGTTAAACGGAGAACGAGGAGGGCCCCCGGGGCCGCCAGTGGCCGGCGCCCATACGCTTGGGAAGACGCGGACCAGGTGAGCTTCGCGTACCGCGGTCCCCACAGACAAGCCTGGGCCAGAGCAGCATAGCCCCCTGGACAGACTGACCTCCACCCGGGAAAAAAGAGAAACTGAGTAATAAGCAATAAGAACAGTTAAGACACGCTGGAAAGAGGGTGGGGCGCCCTGAGCGCTGAAGATTGGGGAAGGGAATCCTTCCCGGACTGTAAATAAACAAGCCGGGCGGGCCGGAGAGCCTCTGGCGGGAGCGGGGCGCGCCCAGCAACCAGGAGGGGAAGCTTGTGAGAGGAGGGAAGACCCACTTCCCACGTGAACTGTAAAAAACATGGCGGCAGGCAGGAGCAGCAGCACCGCCAGTAAGCAGGAGCAGGAAAGCTTCTGAAAGTGGCAGTGGGAGGAAAACTTCAGAGGAGGGGGAAGACCCACCTCCCACATGAACTGTAAATAAACAGGCCTGACAACGCGGGGCAGTGTCACCTTTCCCAGTGCTTGGAAAGGGGAAGCCTGTAGCAGAGGCTCCCGCACAGGAGAACTCTGAGCAAACAAAGCCTGTGGGACCAGGTGAGTGCTAAGCTCACCCCAGAGATCTGCATAAATAACCCGCCAGCTACAGGCTGAGAGCAGCAGGCAGGCAAGCCACAGTTGCAGATACCACTCTCAGAACTGCCTCCAGACGCTTTTTTTTTCTTTTTCTCCCTACCTTTGATGAGAGAACAACCGAATTACACCTGCAAGCCGAAAAACTTACTGAAACTGTATTGCATTTGAACTGGGACACTTGGTGGGGCTTTTTTTTTTTTTTTGTGTGTGTGTGTGTAGTTTTGTTCTACTTTATGCATCCCCTTTGATGAGACAACTACAGAACAACATCTGAGGCACCAACTCCAGGACTGGAGATTGAGACGGACACCCAAATTATTAAGACTGAAACTTGCATTGCATATAAACTTGGAAGTTTTTTTTTTTTTTTTTTAATTTTCTATTTTCCATTTTATTTTAATTCATTTTTATATAGATATTTACTTTCATTACTTATTTTTTATTTTTTTATTTTTGATTTTCAACCCTTTCTGTCACTCTAATGTCCGTTCAGCTTACTGTCAATTAGTACACTAACACTCTCTGTTTATACCTTTGAAACTTTCTTGTCTGATACCTTGTTCTGTTTTCTCCTTCTTGTCTGTGTATTTGTTTTCCCTCTTTCTTTAACTTCTTGCTTTCCATCTCAGCACACTCTTCCATTCTAAATATTACCATTGTTATTATTACAAGCTAGAAAGTACTTAATTGCACACAGTACAGGGACAGTAACAACACCAAGGACAATGACAGGAAGACAGAGAAAACAGGAAACCAGTTTCCCCACAGCAATAAATTAGTACAGGAACCAGAAGGGAATGAAGAAAACAGAAACTCAGATCCAGACTCCAACAAAATGAAGATAAACTATGCCAAAGGACCCAATGAAGCCCACAAGAATAATTTAAAAGAAGACATACTACAAGTACTCAATGAGAATTTTATAGAGATGATACTGGATAGGGTCAACCAAAATGTACAGGAGACACTCAAGAAATTCCAAGACAATAAAAATAGAGAATTTGAAAAAGCAAAAGAAGAAATAAAGGAAACCATAGAAGCACTGTATAAACACCAAAGTGAAAGAGAGAACACAATGAATAAATGGATAAATGAACTCAGGACAAAAATAGACAACAATAAAGAAGAAAACTGCCAGGATATGGAAAACCTCAGAAAAAAGAACGAAACAGAACTGCAAAACAAAACGGAAGGCCAATCCAGCAGAATAGAACAAACAGAAGACAGAATCTCAGAACTTGAAGATGAAATGGTAATTAAAGGAAAAACGAAGAACTATTAATTAAACAACTCAAGACCTGTGAAAAGAAAATGCAAGAACTCACTGACTCCATCAAAAGACCAAACTTGAGAATCATGGGCATCGAAGAAGGAGAAGAGGTGCAAGCGAAGGGAATGCGTAATATATTCAACAAAATAATAACGGAAAATTTCCCAAATCTAGAGAAAGATATTCCCATACAATGCAAGAGGCCTCCAGGACACCAAACAGACCAGATCAAAATAGAACTACTCCACGACATATCATCATTAAAACAACAAGTTCAGAAACTAAGGAAAGAATATTGAAGGCTGTAAGAGAGAAAAAACAAGTAACATACAAAGGTAAACCCATCAAAATCACAGCAGACTTCTCAACAGAAACATTAAAAGCAAGAAGAGCGTGGGGTGAGATCTTCCGGGCACTG